CCACCTTGCCACTTCATTCAGAGCACTTTGCATGTATTACGCGCATACACTTCATCCGTTGTGCGGCATCGGAATGCCTGCTTAAATTTCAATGAGTTACGCAAATATCCCTTTAGCAGCTGCTTTTTCTCAACACTCTCCAGTTGCCTACACTCAGTTAGCACTGAGCCGATGAAGTAAAGTTTCGCCATGGATAATTGTAAACGACCCGCGGCCAACAAAGTGTCTAAACGACGCACCAAACGCTCATTGTGTTGCTGCCACTGCTCNGCGATTTTTGTGGTGTCGGCAATTGAAGCGCTGCCGACGCGCGTGACATGGCGCGGATTCTTGCTTTGTTGCGCCAGCATGCGCTGCACTTTCTCGAGATTACGATAGAAATTGCGGTTGGTGATTTGCAATTTGGCATAGTCGGCGTCTAAATTGTCATCGCCGTTTAGGGTGAGATGCATGACGCGACCCAGAAAGAGATGTGAATTCTGCTGGGACATTTCATCGATCCAAGCGCTGGCGGGCAGTTGGTCGTCAAAGGCGCGACCGATGCTCGAATACAGCTGCGCCATTTGCACTTTATCGAGAAAGGCGTGTTCGACAATGTGATGATAGACGGGCTGAAAGAAGTGTTGCGCGAGTGCCTGGCAGTCAGCGCTGCTCTTGTCTACAAAACAAAAAGGAAGGCGTAAAAGGCAACCAATTACTACTTTATAAGGGGAGCTACATAATTGCTAACTTTCATGCAACACACTTACCCATCAAATAGTCAATCCAAATCCAATTCAGCAATCGCGTCATTGTTGTTTGCTGCAGAAATTCGAAAACTTTTGCCAGCTTGGTCTTCTTATGCACCACAACAGTGTCGCTTTGCTTCAGTGGTTTGCCAAGCGCGCTCTTAAAGTACAAATCCCAATCGATTTGCAGCGTTGTACCAAAAGAAGAAGCCTTAAACTCGCCATATGTATATTCTGTATCAACCTCTTTCAACTCGTCCTTCAATATCTCACGTCGATTGCGTTCAAAGTTCAATATCTCCAGAGCA